TTTCTAAAATCCCCTAATGGAAGCAGAATAAGTTTCCTCTTTTGAATACAATCTGTTCCCTTTAAACAATGGCTGTCTTTATTCTGCAAATATAAAACCACTTACCCTCCTACCTCAAAAGTCCACATTTTGGTAAAAGCTTATCTCCTTTAGAAAGATACAAAGTTAAAAGGTACTAAAATCTATTAAAAGGCTTTACATTGTTATTAAAAAGTTCTGCACCATTCACATATTCTGAAAGCTCTGATTTTCAGTTCACAAATACAATCAGTTTAATTTCAGCTTCGCCGACAAAGGCTGATCTCAAAATGATCTTTCAAGCAGGGTTTTAAGCATGGAATAACTGTGTAGGTAACTCACCATTTTAGGACTGCAGCTCTGCTCTGCTAAGACCAATAATTGGCACAGGAAAAGAATTGCATTGCAAAGAATCTCACTTGTAACTTAAGTTTTAATCTCAAAGAAGCTTTTCAACAATATGATTTGCAAACGGCAACATATGTATACAGTATTTGTAAGTATCTCACCCTTCCGTGCTTAAGGAAAAAAAAAACCTTATTATGTTTTCCTTTTAAGAGATGGCAACATTATAATTAAGAAAACCCGAAGTATAATTCGTACTTCAAAGAACTTTCACAATGTTATTTCTCCCTATTCAAAGTACCTAATCCTGTTTTCAGGCAGACAAGAGCTGCAGAAAAAGTCTTGCTCAGCAGAAAGCTTTCATTTACATATGTGAGCCTAGCACTGGTAGTGTGGAAGACATGATGATAACTAGGCACAGAAATAGAGAAAGGAACCTCAGACTGTCATTTCTTTCTTCACGTTCGAGTTGAACACTATCTACTAGGCTTATGACTCAAGCAGACCCAAAATACCCTAATCTCCAGACCTTTGTGCCTTGAGCAATACTTCCTCACTTCTTTATAACTTCAAACTAATATATTCAATCAAGTAAAGAAATGAATTTGGCATTAAAGCAAGAGCTGGAACTCTTCAACCATCCAATTTAGATGACTAAAATTAGGCTATATAGAACTTCAAATGATGCTTCCGTGGTAGCAAAATGTTTGTAAGAAAAAAAAAATCTCAGTAGAACTGTACCTCCCAAATATCATTTTAAAATATGCTACTGGCCTTATTTTTTAATGAGAAAGTATCCTGCCTCACATATGTTTTCAACAAATGTGTGAATTTTTAAAAATCTATATATTTGATCAACATAGAAGACATTGGGGGAAAGGGGGGGGGAACCAAGCCTTGAGATAGTCAAACACAGAAGTGCTAAATCTGATTAAAATTTAAAATGGAGGAGAAATTTAAAAAGAGACTGATCTTTTCCAAACATAAAGAGTATGTTATGTGCAGAACTATGTACAATTATATTTTATTGAGATAATTAGTGCAATTAGCTTGGTAGAATATATTGATATTAAGTATATTATGTGGCCTAGCTGTTTACCGTGCAATTTTTTTAAAAAAAGAAGTGACTCTGTGAACTAGCCACAACTTCTGTTTTAAGAAACTCCCAAAACTGTGCATTACTAAATATCGACAGCATGGTTTTATGAAATTTATTCATTAAACTTGCCAACAATTATAATTCTATTTTTAAGAGCAAAATACCTACGTATAGGCCCTCATTTCCTTATCTACTTTCAAATGACATTCCCGTTAATATTAATCCCTTAACCATTGAAAGGCTGTCAACCCTTGTTCTAAAGTATTGCCTGATATTAATATCTACTTATGAACAGCATGCAGATTTGTAAATTTAGTAGAGATTAATTTAAGGGATTATCAAAAACAAATATTGTAAAACCCATTATTTCCTAATCCAATCTCTACTGATAGTGTGTTTAATATAATTTACTTATATTTTGGTGTGTGTGTGTGACGTACTTGAAATATAGGAGACTCGGTATTTTTCATTTTGCTGATCCTATTATTTTACTACAGCCTCAAGGATGTTTGCATTAATAGCACAATAAATAGAAAGTGATTTCATTTTTCCCTCTTATATTTAGAGATGGCTAACAAACCTGTAGCGAACATAATCTGATAAATTTTTGCATTTCTTTCAAGGTACAATGATTCATGGAACTGATATTACATCTGTTCCATAAAACAAGTTAAGAGACAAACACTATTTTCCGAGAACACAATTAAAATATATGCATACATCAGTCAACATATTCTTTAAAAAATGTATTAGCAGGTAAGTGTGGGCTGAAGTCAAACAAATGGCTGCATAATGAGAATGACAGCAGCTCATTTTTCTGCCAATTTAAGCTGAAGGACCAGAATACGCTGCTAAATGGCACAGGCTCTGGGACAAGAGTATGAAGGGGAAGGAGACAAGCAGCTGAACACTTGAGGGAGGGTTCCTTTCACTCATGGAGCATGATCAATGCCAATTGGCAAATACCTCTGATCTTAGGAGAAGCTTTGTGGCGATGGGTTCTTCTTGGGGGGGGGGACAGAAAGAGTCAGGTTACAAAGGAATCCAACCTAGTGTTTAAATAATCTTAATGGACCTTGTTTATAGCACCCATTCTTATGAAAACAAGAGTATTCAATGGGCAGATCTTAATATAAGGACAGCAGAAATATGTTTATTTAGCTTCATAAGCAAATGATTGTTATGTGCTTTTGACCTGGTGATGGCACAGCTCCTAAAGTATGTACGTTCTACAGACTTTTATTTATAACTTTTTTTTTAATTAACTTGTTTGCTGCCTCGATCACAAATGCAACCTGTTACCTTAAAACCATCCAACAACCCAACCAAGAAGAAGACTTGGATAATGTTTTTCAAAAGCAAATTACAAAATTTTCAGAAAGGCTGAAAAACTAAATGGATACATTTAATTATCAAAGCAGTGTCTTGTCTCCCAGAGTAGAATTTAATGAATTAAAACCATTAGTTATTAATCAAATTTTAACATTCTATAATAAATTATCTCTTCAAAGTAAACTAATAATTACAGTAGACATTTTTGCTTGCACAATTTTAAATGTACATAAGTTTGGATACAAATTATGCTAAGAATATTCCTTCTAGAACAGACATGTCAAACACAAGGCCCGGGGGCCAGATGCGGCCCGCGAAGTGATTTCATGTGGCCCGCGAAGCCATCCTGGAAACAGTGAAGGAACGGGCCCCCGCTGCCTTGGCCCTGGCCCAGGCCAGCCGGGAGCCAATATACAATTTTGTGGTGGCCATCTTGGCACTTGCCCCAGTGGACCATGCCTTGGCACTTGCCCCAGTCCCACCCCCTTCTGCCAGACACCCTCAGATCTGTCCCACTCCTGCCCAGGCCCCCACAGGCATCCTTGATGCGAATGATGTAGAACTGGCCACGCCCACCCAGTAGGCCACATCCACTCCATCCACGTCCACCCAGTAGGCTGCACATACTCTGGCCACACCCACCTGGCCCCCCAAGGGCAACCGCAATGCTGATGCGGCCCTCAGTGAAATTGAGTTTGACACTCCTGTTCTAGAAGTTCTTGATCTGCCCTGTCAATTTTTTTTCTTCAAGGAATGCTAGAAGGAAAGGTCAGCTTCACTTGATTTGAGAATAAATAACAGGGAAGACTTAATTGAGGAAATGAAAAAACTAAGAATACTGGGAGAAAGTGATCCTATAATGTTGGACAGAACTTTGATATTAAATGATATTTAAAAACTACAATTAAGTGGATTACTTTATTTCAAGAAATCATATTTAATTAACTCAGAACAATAGTTGGGTAAAATAGTTGATAATAGAAGCTGATGGAGAAGTGAGCCCACTAAAGATGGGATTTTTTTTAAAAAAAGTTACATTACAGCAAAACCTCAATGTAACAAACCATTTGGAGACAGGCTTATCTGATTCTACCACATATGGATCTCCCCTCCTTCCGCCGCGCCCTCAAGACATGGCTATTTAAGTTGGCAGGACTGGCCTAAGGGTTATTTTTAGCTTGGTTTTATAATAATTTTTTAAAAATAATAACGGCCTAATAATATTTCATTTTAATTAACATTTTAACTTTAGTATTTTTGTATTTATGTATTTGTTTTTAAAAGGCTGTAAGCCGCCCTGAGTCCGCAGGGAGAAGGGCGGGGTAGAAATATAAATAATAATAAATAATAATAATAATATGAATTAATGCTATTTGTGTTAACTTGTATTATTTTTGTCACCTTGGTAAATATGCATGCAAATGATATAAATCAATGCAAAATTTGTAACTAACATTTTTCTACCTATCAATATGTAAGCCGATGAAAATAATAAATTTAAGTAATCACATAGACTATTTGTGATACAAAATAGATTTAATTTATTATTTTGTGGAAACATCGGGACAGAAATCTTGTCCATGTACCAAAATCATTTGGTAACTTTAGTTTTACTGTATGAAAAACATCACTGAAAACAACTCTAATGAGAAAAGCTTAGTGAAAATCTGAAAGTCACAAAGGACATGTAGAGGAATTGGAAAGAGACATAAATCACTAAAAAAGATTACATACAATAGTCTGGATTGTAGAAATAGTATCAGAAAAGCCAACACTTAGAATCAGCTGAAATTAATAAAGGATGCTAAGAATGACAAGACTTTTGGATCTTGAAGAAAAGAAAGGAAGGAATTAAATAAAAGTAAAATTCTTCCTGTATAAAAGGAAAAAAAAATACTTTAGCACTCAGTGAAAATGACAAAAAAGTAGCAATCAAAAAGAAAAGACAGAATTATTCAACTAATTTTTTTAGCTCAGTTGGCTCTACAAGGATATACAATTGATGCTGAATGAATTAAAATCTTTAGGGCCACATGGATTGCTGACTGACAGATGACTGAAGGAATTTGTTGCTGGTTGATTCTATTGTTTTATTTTTGCATATTCTTACATAAATTTGCAGGTTTCAAAAAAGAGGCTATGCATAATCCGTACTTCAACTGGGTTTACATTCACACACAAAAAATGAGTTCTCTTATTTTCTTACCTGACCCGAATCATGCAAACTTAAATCTAGGCCACAAGTAAACTCCGTATGATGCTCCACAGTTTCAAGCAGAGGGTCAGGCTTGGAGAAATCCCAAAATCTATAGAAGGAAACAAGAATACAATTATGGTAATTGAAAGGCCACTGATGGCATGCTTGAAGCTGCCAGATGCTTTTAAAAACCAAGCCCGTCTACTTTAAAAACATAATTAATCCTATTGCCACAGGTCTCTTGCTTCATCTGCATAAATGAGCATTTCATTAAGAAATTCATTAAGAAAGCATTTTCTTCAGTTCAGTATGGAAATTTTGGGTCAAAAAAGCTGGCCTAATTATCTTCCATTGGGAAAATCTGCAAAACAATAATGCGAAGATTGTTTATTCATAAACAATTAACATATACTGTAACAATTTATATGTGTTATCCTTGGGGTGGGGGGGAAACATTTTTGTTGTCAGACCATCAGTCCACTGGTACAGCTAACTTTTGCTGAGAACTTGTCCCTCAGGTAAAAATATTTCATTGGCCAAGTTCTCTTTTTTCCTCTCCCCCTCATCCTCTAGAGATGTCAAGAATTAAATAAGAACATTGAATCTGGCTCTTCCCCATATTCTGTCAAAAGTGTTAAATTATTTCAGTAATTTAAGGCAGCAGAGGAATCTATATGACTATCAGTGCATAGATAGCTTGTGTGGCCCCAACACTGGCCAGCTGACAATATATATAAGGGATGCCGTAGCATGAGTTATCCCTTGAGGAATTCATTGATCTTGCAAAGCCAAAAAAGCAATCGAACACATGATGGACTTAGGATAATGCACATTTGATCCCTTAACACTGAAATTTCAAAAAGCAACCTTTTCCAATATTCTTTTTCCTGCTTCTACATGATTCAATACATTATTCTAGACAGGTTTTGGATAAAAGACTTCCCACATGCACAGACAAGTAAACTTTCTGCAAAAACTCTCTCAAGATAGCCAAATTGGTATGTCAGATGAATAGAATCCAAATGAAAAACTTCTGAAGATTACAAATTCATGTTCCATTATCAAAACAACTTGTAGATTTTGTTTTCATACTGACACGACCAATTTTGGCTATTTGCTAATCAGCTATATTAAAACAGGGCAACTTAATCCCCTACAAGCTACAGCTGACGAAGGAGAGGAGCATTTATGTTTAGACTAGTGACATTACAGACATTTTGCCCTATCTGACACACTATGACATCTATTGGGAGTAGATATGCAATAAAGAAACCACCTAAACAAAGACACCTAATTTAGGGGGTACTTGAAGGCAAACTGTATCTTCCATCAGAGAGAAATGGGCAAAGAAGCTTCAGGAGAAATGGTCTGCAGGGACCTCTTTGTTTTACCTTAAGATAGAGAAGGTCCAATTTAACTATGCATTCACACACCTTTTAAATCAAATTCTTCAGTCTTAAGGAATTCTGTTTGCTGAAAGTTAAAATACAAAGCTGTATTTTAACTGTAGTACAGGTAGTCCTCGACTTATAACAGCTTGTTTAATGACCGTTCAAAGTTATAATGGCACTGAAAACAGTGACTTTCCATTCTTCACACTTACGATCATTGCAGCATGGTCACATGATTAAAATTCAGATGCTTGGCAACTGACTCATACTTATGAAGGTTGCAGTGTCCCAGAGTCATGTGATCACTTTTTCTGACTTCTGATTAGCAAAGTTAATGGGGAAGCCAGATTCACTTAACAACTGTGTTCCTAACTTCACAACTGCAGTGATTCACTTAACGACTGTGGCAAGCAAGGTCATAAAATGAGGCAAAACTCACTTAACAAATGTCTCACTTGACAACAGAAATTTTGAGCTCAATTGGGATCGTAAGTTGAGGACTACCTGTATTACATTTTTTAACATGCTTGCTTTGAAATAACTTATACAATACAAAAAGTCGTTACTGCAGTAACTTAAAAACTAGCTTGTATTAAATATAATTTTCAATTATTTCTGTTGGGATAACATCTTTCTCTTGACTTTACCCAGTTATACACTGTAAATATATTTCCACTACCACTATCTTTACACTCTCATTTCAACCCCTCCTTGGGCCCCTTTGAATCTTTTCCTGTATAGGGGCCATGACTACAAAGAGTGATGCGTAATGCTATTCATGTGCTGTAGGTTTTGCTACTGAAGTGGTTATCAAGAAGGAGCAAAAACCATTCAACTACATAAAATTCGACATAGGAACAACTCAAGTGTACAGCAAACACTACAGGCCACGCAATTAGGTTTGTTTAAGCCAACTTGATTAAATTTTCCGCAAATTACCTGGCTAGAGTGATGGCTACACAATGGATGTGCTATGGCAACAGCCCTCTTTAGAGACTCCGAATACTAGAGAGCAGAAGAAATTTATAGTTTCCCAATAAGCTAATTTTCAAAGAGAAGCAAATGAAGGTCAACAGCCTCTTTTCATTTACCTATAAATGTTTTGTAGTATAGTTTGCTAAATATTCTCACAAGGAAGAGTTTTGCTATTTATATACAACATCTATATAATACTATCCTAGTATTATATAGTGTTATACTATACTATATAGTATTATACTATCCTAGGACCACAATTTTTGAATCTAGGTACCTCAAATGGGCTACCTTATAGAATGTGTACAGAATCTGAATCCCATGACTCCAAAATGTATGACATTTGAGAAAACTGTGGCTAATTCAGTACTACTGGTTGCTGCTGAAGTCACATTATCTTTTATTTTCAACTAGCTGTACCCGGCCACGCGTTGCTGTGGCTCAGGCTGGTTAAATGGAATAGAAAGAAAAGAGAAAGTGCACGTTTGTAATATGTTTAATTTCACAATGCTTGTGGGTATACAATATTTTTTGTTGTTCCATTGTCTGTGCAGATATAGAGATTGTCTGGTTTGCTTTTACGTCCAACAGATGGCGCTGTTTTTTTTAAAAAGCATGTTTTTACCTGTCACAGGTGTGACATCTATATAATAGTAGGTATATAAAAACACGTGCGTATTCGAATGCAACGTTGTGTCAAAATTTCAAAGCAATCGGTGAAGAACTTTCGGAGATTTAAGATTTTGAACAAACGAACATTTACATTTTTATTTATATAGATCAGTGGTTCTCAACCTTTTTAATGCCGCGACCCCAACCGGTTGTAAGTCGAGGACTAAACCGGTCATAAGTCGAGGACTAAACCGGTCGTAAGTTGAGGACTACCCAACCGGTCATAAGTCGAGGACTTTCCCTGCCCAGGAGCACCGCGCATGTGTGGTTCCGCCCCCTGCGCCAGCCGAGGCGTAGCTGGCAAGCGGCAGAGACGGAGCAGGCCGACTACCAGCTGGCCCAGCCCAAGGGAGGTAAGGCACCCGCTGGAAAAGGAAAAAAAAATGGCGGACAAAAAAAATGGCGGACAGTCTTGCTTGGCAACCCCCATGAAATGGTCGATCGACCCCAAATGGGGTCCCGACCCACAGGTTGAGAACCACTGATATAGATGTTCTGCAACCATTTCCCAGGCAATCTAGAATCCTTCACTCACTGCCCCATCCAGCAGCAAGGAATTGATTCATCATGTGTCTTTTAAAGAAGCAACAACTTTAAGGGCCCGGATATTTTTATTACTTTTATGTGTCCCTTCTCTAGTACAAAAACATCACATACAACTATCTATATCTCAATTTTATTTGCTAGTTTGTTTATATTCTGCCTTTATTATTTTTACAAATAATTCAAGGCAGCTAACATATCCAACACATCTTCGTCCTCCTATAATTGTCATAACAACCCTGTGAGGGGAACTGAGCTTAGAGAGAGTGACTGGCCCAAGATTTCTTAGATGGCTTTCATGACTAAGGCAGTACTTGAACTTGTGGTCTCCTACATTCTAGCTGGTGCCTTAACCACTAGACCACATTGGCTCCCGTCTTTGTTCAAGAACTCAATGCACATACATAGTGCTCCATCCTCCTATATTTCTTCACAACACTGTGAGGAAGGTTGGGCTGAAAATCACAAAGTGAGCTGCTATGGTTTCAGATGAGAGGTCAAATTGGATCTCTCTGGCATCAGAGAAATACATTAGCCACTATAACAGATCTTGCCCATCCCTGTCTTTAGAATCCTGGCAAGGATTCTAAACTATTCTGAGATGAGAATCTCTAAATACAACTTTGTGGTTAAAAAAATTTTGGGGGGCAAAATTATGCCAGGTGGAAAGAAAAGGGGGTCATCGTGGTCAAGAATAACACCAAACATCGTTGGGATATAACAAACAGGAGGAGAGATGGACATTAGAAAACAATGTTCATATATTAAATCTACAGTATTTCAGTGACTAATAATTTGATTTTTCTTTTTTGGAAGAAATATAATAACTATTACTACTTATAAGCTATTATTATGTAGAGTGCAGGTAGTGGTTGAGGAATCCATTAATAAATGGCAAATTATGTGTTACTCATTATGTTTTCACATTGAAAGAAGCACATTTGATTTTTTTTACATGCTTCACTAAGCATTTACATATTAAGTTGATTTCCTTTAACATTTCTTAAACCAGAAAATGTATTTGATTGGAAAAATGAAAATTGTTAAAAGCTAAGAATATATTTAAATATTATGTGTTACTAAAGAAACACAGTATCAAAATTGCAATTTTTGTAACTGTATTTCATAAAATGTAGAGCTGAAAAGGGTACAGAAAGGAAACAAAATGATCCGTTATCTGCAGAATACTTTTCCTAAAAAAGAAGATATAATATTTAGAGCGTCTCTTTTCATCTATCTACATACTACATCCGCTGTTTGTAGTCTTCAATTTGGCAAAATGGTGCATCGTAGGGCAACAAATTTTTAATCAACATACCTCAAAAGGGCAAACTTAAAGAATGCATCCAAAATACAAGATTTATTATTCCCATGGCAAAATTGTGGCTGCTTTAGTGCCATGACTGTCACATGATCGTCATTTCCAACACTGCCTGCCAAATTTTCATAACAAAAGTTAATGAGGAAGCTGGCAAGAAATTGGGAGTCACTCCCATTCTCACTGCTTTTTTGCCCAGCTTTGTTTCTC